CTTAAGACCAAGGCTAAGAGCAGGACTCGGGCAGCACACGGCTCATCTCAGGAGACTTAGTTCTCACAGCCACCCATTTTGATGATGGGGACACTGAGACCTGGGAAGCACACGCTGATTAGTATCATGCACAAGGATGGTCAGGAATAACCTGGACCTCCTCTGTGCAATATTTCATTCTGACGCGGGGCGTAGAGGGCCGATTACCACCAGGCTGTGACAGTGGCTCACAGCTCCAGCTCAGTTTGAATGCAACGGTTTAAGCGAACAAACATTAGAGCCCACATTACGGTTTCAAGTCCTGTTTTCAAGCACCTGCCTAGGAAACAGTTCATAAGTTACTGAAATGGTCTCTGGGGACAACACCAGGGTGGCCTTCTTAGCATCCTTACTTCCGTGCGAACCGAGATTACAAGATAGTTCCTGCCCATGTCTGGCGCAGGCATTTCACTCGAGGAAAAAGGAATTAGCAAACTCAAGCGTCGGTTTTCAAGGATGAAGGATGCTGCTGCCGATGTTAATTGCAAGAGAAAACCCTATTTAGGGAAATTAACACCCAAACGAGACTGTCCACTTCAGGGCTAAGCAAACAATCACAAAACCCACAGGAGCCTCCGGCACTGCATCAGCTCGGCGAGGGATGACCCCAGGAAAATAATTAACGCCCAGAAAGCTTCGGAGAGCACACAGCAACACGCTGGCCATGGAGGCTGAGACACTGCTCACCTGCATGAGACAGCTCTGTTCTAAGGAATAATTTTCTACTTAACGAAATTAACACCTGTCAGAAAATTAATACTGTCATTCCAGAAAATTGGAGAAAGAGAGAAAAGTCTGAAAAAAGAGAAAAGAATCCCACATGATCCCATTGCTGAGGGGCTAATATCTCCTTTCCTTCTTTTTCCTATACCTCGTTTGGGGGGAGGCGGCATCATTTAGATGCCTATATGGGGTCGTCGGAAAAGTTGTGACGCATTTTTGCAACAAAAAACAGAAAAATACATCATGACTTTTCCGAAGACCCAACAGTTTTGATTCTGCCCTTTCCACCTAATGTAAGGTAACCATTTGCCATTGGCTCTAAGAGCTTGCAAGCGTGACTTTCAGTGCTTTCTTGTGAATCCACAGCAGATGCACGAGTGTCCCCTTAAACGTTCCCCTATTGCCCCAGCCCCTTACATTGTGGCGACACTGTGAGCTCTGCCTGTTTTTCAGATCGCTCCCTTAGGACAGATTCCTAGATGTACCATTCCTGGTTCAGCGTGACGGTTATTACACACTGCCACACTGATTTCTAAAAAAGTTTACAGCAATTTATTCTTCCACATAGCAACATGTGAGCGCGGTCACAACTAACAGCTATAGTAATTAATACAAAGTAAAAGTGTCCACTAATTTGACAGTGAGAATTGGCCCCTTATCATTTGTTTTCATTCTTGCCCTTTGTCCATTTATACGTCGAGCACATCAAAGCGTATCTCATGAATCTCTGAGCTATGGGCCATTGAGTCAGGCAGCCTGGGCTGGGATCCCAGCTTCTCCGCCCATCTGCTGCTGAGCCGTGGACATTAACTTGCCTGTGCCTCAGTTTCCTCATCTGTAAAGGACATGAAAACAACATCCCAACCTCCATGTCTCCCTGACGACTCGATGCAACACTGCCATCCATGAGCCGTCTGTGTCCTCCATATGACTCACCATAAGTGACCTCTTCTGTCCCCTCTTGTGGGGGTGGCGGACTTACCAAGACAATCTCAGAGAAACAGCAGGAGTCACACTGGCCAACTCCTATCATTATTAAAACCAGTCAGAACTGGTTGCAACCAAAAGGGACGTGGGCCTCCACCGTTCCTTGTGGGGGGAGGCCCCATCCTCACATTTGACCCGTGAGGACAGAAAAGCTTGCCCTGGCCCCCTGCTTGCTTCTTTCTCTCCCTGGGCTGCCCCTGTTCCCTGCATGTCCCCGCAGGACTACTCTGCTGCCAGCGCCCTGCCTCCTCCCTGGGGAAGCTCCAATGTCATCAGCCTCCAGCGGACTCGGGCACATCGGGCTGATCGGAAACAGTGAACCTCATAATCTACGGAGCCACCACGTTCACGTGCCCCCTCCATGGGGCACCCACTTCTCTTTGTCCACTGCCGAGGGAATTTTTCATGACAGCCCAAGTGGCACGCCGAGACCTGCCTTCCTCCTAAGTCCCCATCTGAGGATGGCCTTGTACGCGGAACTTGGCTCAAAGCCTTTGCTTCTTGATGGTGGGTGGTCAACAAAGAAACAACACCAACAACAAAAGAATAAACTTCTAAACAACACTAACAACAAGAGAATAAACTTCTCCCAGATGCCAGGGCAGGAGAGACATAAATTCAGAGGGTCAGCACCCAAGAAAAGCACGCACAGCGGGGACCCTCCATGATAGGCTGGCCAGAGGACAAGGCCAGGACATGCTGACCAAGCCCGAAAGGCACCTCCAAGAGCGGACATGCCCTTCAAAGCGGCCCCTTGGTCCCAACTTCAAACTGCAGCCTGCGTTTTTAAAGAGCAAATAAACATCTGACACACGCTGCGTTCCTTTCCAATAGCAGAGAGAAAGGAAGGCTTGCAGGGGGACGAGGACACTTTGTCCGCACTCGGGGCAGCTTTCCACATGGGCCTCTGAGCCTCACCAAGAGCTGACGGCCCGCTGGCTCCACGGGCGGCTTCCTGCCGGATGAAGACTCACCTGAGGACACGCGAGTCCATCGAAAACAATCCCTACAAGGTGGAAGCTACTCCCTAAAAACGTAACACAATTGTCTGTTGGGGAAAACGTGCAGCTATAAATGATATTAACATCCCAGCGGTGGAGTCCGGTAGCGAGGAAAACAGCTCAGTGGAGACTCAGTCTTTTTAACCCAAGCTCCTAAAGGGGGATCTCTGAGCCCCACTGTGTAGCCTTGGAAATGAACAGCGGGGAGCTGGGCTCCAAGGGTCCAGCCTCCGCACCCTGACCCCCACTGCTGGACTCTCGGGGAGCAGCCTTGGAGGGCCTGTGGCTAAGGACAGCCCTCTCCTCCTTCAGGTGACATAATAACACCAACAGAGCCTTAATGCTTCCCAGGGCCAGGCCCTCCTAGAATCCTGGAACGCAGAGGTTACCCAGAATATAACACCTCTTCCAAAATGGCAAATATATTTGCATATCAGAGGTTAGGAGCAATGTCAAAGGAAATGCTTTGAAAAAAGAAGTGCAGAAACTCTGACTGCTCCCAAATCCCACAGAGGCTTGCATCCCACGGGGCAGCCCAGGTATGCTGGGGCCACATCTGCCAACCCGGAACAGCTCTGCTTCCTCAGGCAAGGGACGGGCCCAGCGCACGCTCTGCGGGGCCCCCATTTCTGTGAGTGAATAGTTTATTATGGAGAGAATCTGAGGAGCCCAACAACAGGGGGTGTGCTTACATCTGCAGCCCTCATTTATGATTTAAAACCAACAACAGCTCTGTCAACCTATCGGAGCCCCTCTCTCTTACACACGCACGCGCACACACACGCACACGGGAAGGGGACTTACATCACAACTGCATCCTACAGGAGATGATTCAACCCCATCTCTCTGCATTTTCATGAGGTTACAAATCGAGTTAACCCACGAAGCCTCAGTGGGTTCCAGCCTCCATCAGTCTGGAGACACATCCCACAGCGTAAATGGACAACGTCCAAATGAGCGCATTTTCCATCGAGCCAGGCTCCGAGGGGTCAGTGCTAATTAAATACATCATACCTGGAATAGGTTACGGCGCCTTCCCCGCTGTACCTGGCTCCCTCCCCTTCAATGGTGTCTTTCCTTCCAGACTCCCATCACTCTAACAGCTTGAGTAGCTCGAAGGAGGCCATGAGAAAAACCACAGCTAGAAAAGCACCCTCGGGAGCCCAGGCATAACAGACAGAAAAGGCTTCAAGTGACCATCTCGCCATGGCCCGGGTCTCCTGCTTTACGGAATGGACAAGTCTCTGGCTGGCCCAATGGCGGGGACCATGATGTGGCCGGCCGCACAGCACACATCCATTCCTTCCAACTGCACGTGGATTTCCAATGCTGAAGACACAGGGCTCAGGGTTAGCACCAAGAATGCTTGTTCAAGAAACGTGCACTCCAACGAGGGCCATTTGCGCTTACCCAACCTCCTACAAAGAATTTTCCAAGGTGCAACAGACTCTTTCATCCTTACTATTTCCAAAGAGTCACACATTCCTGTACAAGATTCAAAGTAACACCTAAACCCGCCAAGGGCTGGGAGCTCAGGTGTGCGGGCAGCTCGGGCAGCTCACACACACCAACACGGCAGCTCCGGGTGCCCGAGAAACACGGGTTCTTGCATCTCGTGGGATTCTTTCTGTGAGGACGATGCACCCCGCTTTTACCTACCCGCAGAAGCTGGTTTTCAAAGCAGCTGAATTTTAAAAGTTTCCTGCCATCCACTGTAGCCACCCCTCCTGCCCAGGCTCCTGGGTGTTTGAAGGCCATCTTCCATCGACAGGCCAGTTACCGCAACTTACAAATCAACGGACTCTGAGCCACCAACATTACAGACCTCATCCGAGCCACAGCCACAGTCCTGCACCTTCCAGCCTGCCCTGATGGCACATGGATGGCCAACGGGCCCTCATGGTGTCTATTCACACAGTCACAGCGAAATGTTCCGCAGATCTATATGTGTCCCCGACATCATGGCAGCCACGTTTTTCTTCCTGCGACTTCAAGACCAACGGCCAAGCTCCACTGTCATTTCATTTCCACTCCCCAGAGTTATAGCCAAGGCCTCAAACACAACCCAACACACACGTCTACAGGAAGCGGCACCCACAGTAGGGGGACACAACCGAGCACGAGTCCACGCCAGCCTCCGCGAGTACCCCCGTTCTGGCCCATCAGCCATGCTGCCAAGACCACGGACCCCAACCATAAGAGAGTCGGCGCTCTCCCCAAGCAGAAAGGTACAAACACCTGCGTCCCTACCTCGATCAAGAAGTCCCCAGTCCTCAGTCCGGCTTGCCATGCTACCCCGCCTTCATCCACAGACTCCAAGTACTGCAGGGCCGGGAACGCCGGCGTCGGCGTGAATTCCTCAATGGGCGTGTCCGCTGGGAAGGCAAGGATACCTGGTTACAAGCCTGGGAGGTTTCCAAGTGGGCAGCCCCACCCCCACGGGACCCCGGGAGAAAGACCTGTGTGTCTCCTGTTGGAAGTGGGCGGTCCAGGCCAGTGGTCCCCTGGGAAGGGCTGGACACTCATGTCACAGGCCAACACCCACGCAAGCAATGAAGCCAACGGCATCTGGTGCCACCATCCTATCTTTCGTCCCCTCTGCTGAAAACACGGAGTAGCGTGCCCCACTGTACATGTCTGTATGTACACGCCTGTCATTTTCTTTAAAAGCATCCGTGACTAAACATTTTCAGTTCTAAAAATGGAAAACTTTCCCCCATAACCACACGGAGCTACAGAAACACCACACGGAACCACCTGCCAAATCTACAGCTATGAAGACCCGCAATCAAGGGAATCCAAGTGGGGGCACGGACAGAAGAGAACGCGGACCCAGCGGGTGGCTGCAGATTGGGAACAGGCTTAGGAACTGTGTGTGTGTGGGGGAGCCCGGCTCTCCGGGACCACTCTGCAGCCAGCGTCCACGGGAGGGCTGGGCCCCCGCCGCTGAGCGCTGTGAGCCTGGGCTCCTGGGTCCTACACAGCTGCCGACTAAACTCTAGGGCAAGCGGTGGACTTGCCTGGGTTGACCTGAGGGGCTGGGGGTGGGGGTGGGGGAGGGGTAGGAACATGAAGATGGCCTCGGCAGGGGGAGGGGAGGGAACATCACACACACAGTCATGGACACACACATGGGGACAGAGCCACATTTTCTTTCTCTCTCTGGACAGCTTGCTAGCAGGACAGCCTGCGCCTCGGGCAGGTGGCTTGCCACCCTGGGAAGGAGGCCTCTCCTAGCACAGGAGCCGGGCCCCCAGCGTAGAAACTTCCACATGGCTTACCCACCACACACGAGGTGGACAGCTGTCCCCTCCGGTGGGGGGGTGATGCCATTTTGTTTTCTTTCGGAAGGGGAGCCCCCAGGTCAAGGGCTGGCAGTGGTGCACTGCCGTGGAACACGTCCCCGGAGCCCCCCACCACGGCGTGAGTGCTGCCGGCTCAGGCCACGGCAGAGGGGACCATCTTGCCACATTTCCTTTGCAAAGTCACCTCTCAGAGGCAGGCACATGGATGTCTGCCGCACTTGGAGCAGGCGCCCACTCTCAGGATGGGGCGGTTTCTAGATCCTGGAACTCAGGACCGGCTAATTCTGGGTGCCCGAGACCAGGAGCTCCGAACGCAGCCACAGTTGGGCTCAACTAAGCCACAAAACGTAGATTACATCCATGATTTAGAAGAAAAGACATGGGTGGGGGGAGGGAGAGACAGAGCTCGTTGAGAGCGATGGTGTGTCCAGAAAATTAAAAATATTCCTAAAGGAAGCCCTGGGGTTTTCTGAGTAAGGCAGCATGTTAAGGAACACGGTTGCCTAGCAACCAAGTGCCCCCAGGAAAAAAGGCTGCTTTCGGGGCTGGGGAGCGTCTTTCATACAGGCGTGTACACACACACACACACACACACACACACACACACACAAGCGACATGTGAATGCAGCCAGGCTGGGAGCAGCTGCTCTTACCTTTCGCCCCTCGCAGGACAAACCCAAAGCCCTCATTGTCCCTTTTCTGCAGGACCACCGTCTTGTCCTCGATGATGCAGTCACTGCAGAGAGAATTCCGGGGATAGCGACCATTATTGTGACCCGTCATCATCACCGCGGCTGCTCCTGCGCCGGGGACGCTCATCATCAGAGCCAATTAATCACCCAGCTCGCGGGATCCGGGCAGCATGGAGGGAGCGAGGCAGCACGGGGCGCAGGAGGAGCGAGGCAGCTGGGGGGGCAGGCTAACGGGATAGGCGGGCACGGCACAATGGGGCTCGGAGGGGGGGCCAGGCAGAGGCAGAGCAGGAGTGAGCGGGAGGAAGGAGTCATACATGGTGGGGAGGCCGCGGGCGCGGGCTGGGCGGGCTGGCTCCAGGCACCAGAAAGCAGGGAGAGTGAGCGGCCCCGAGGAACGCACACGCCCGCCCGCGGTGCGCTAAGGGGCCCGGGGCCGGAGGCATCTTCCAGGGAGCAAATGAAATCAGCCGGAGGAGCAATGAGGCAGCACTTTTGCCTTTTTTTCTTCTTCTTCTTCTTAAAGGGGTTTTTTAAAAAATCAAATTCTATTTGCTCTCTGCGCGAGCCGGCACCAGGAGACGCAGCAACCCCTCCCTCTCCGTCCGAGGAAACGTGGTGCCTCCACAGTCAACCGCGTCACCCCGCGCGCAGACAAACTGCAGGCCGGTGGCGGGGGCTGCCGGAGCGAGCGGCGGGCGGGGGCTTCCAGCAGGAGGCAGGTCATTCCAGTGACACCAGGGCCACCGGCTGGGACTCAGGCCTCCGTTGGGGGATGATGAGTGTGGGGATGGGGAGAAAGGAGCCTGGGCTTCCCCGTTTGAGAGACAATCTAAAGCCACACTGTCTGCCTCTTGGCACAGCATTATTTTATTTTATTTTTTTTTTTTAAGAAAGAAACCCAAAGGCCCAACTTTGCATCAGCTGCTGTCATTTACAGGAAGGGCGCTTTGCCACATGGTTATCCATCCCCGGAAGCTCCGGGGTGCAGGACAGAAGTGGACTTCCCTGCAGGCCAGGCCGGCGGCAAGACCTGGTCCTGCCTCACCTTGGGGGGCTGCTGCCCCGGAAGTAAGTCAGTAGCAGGAGGCCACTGTGCAGGGGAGGGGCGGGGCGGCGGCACTGAGGACAGGCTTTTTCCAGGGTCCTAAGGGGCTGGCATGGGAGGACTGGGTGTGAGCAGAAAGAGCCCCCCCAACCACCACCCAGGAGCCCCAACGGAAAGGCTGCCGCGGGCCTGGAAGAACCCAGCAGGCCCTGCCTGAGGGTTAGGCTTGGGAACACAGAGAGCTTACAGTGGGAGCCACGTGCTGATGGCTCCAAGTCCCAGACAACTGGTCAGCTTTGCCCAGCACTGGCTTTGCAGCCCGTGGGAAGCACGTGGCCCCAGCATGCAGCCACCTGGGAGCAGCAAGGCCAAGCCAGATTGGGGACCCCTGGGAGAGGAGGGGCATGGGTGCTCGGACAAGGTGACGGGCAGCTTCCATTGCACAGCTGAGGCAGGGGAGCCTCAGAGACACTGGGGGACACAGCTGGAGGGGGACACATGTCCTGACCTACTCCCGAGCCCCCCACCCCTGCAACAGACAACCATGAAAAAAGGAACTCGCCAGGTGACTCTATCTTCCAGAGAAGGGCCAGCACAGCGGGGACACACGCCTTGACATGTGGCAGACCGTGCAGTCCAGGAGGACCAGTCCAGGGTGGTCTAACAACTGGGGAGGGCAGTTCAGTTCCTGGGCTCCCACCCCGGGAGCTTGGCCATGACACCACAGCCCACCCGATGAGATCTGAAGCATGGCCAGGAGTCCAGGGCCCCGGGAGCGGGCCGGCGGCGGGGTCACATGGCTGCCTGGCTGTCCTGCCCAACGTTTAGTAAGTGACAGGGCTCTCTAAACCTCAGGCCTCCCGGGAACCTGGTGAGGTCAGATGGGTCGATTCCGTGATGGTGTGGGGAAACGCGAGAATCCCAGCGAGCCGTCCCCTGAACCACCACCTGGAACCGCAGGAGTGGGTGGGGGAAGGGCTGGGGGCGGGCAGGGGCTCTGCGGGGAGCCTCCCCCACCAGAATGCAGCCACACACTGGCATTCCTCCACCACCCTCTGAGTCTCTCATGGGGGAGGGCTGACCTGGCCCCGAGGTCCACTTGGTGCCTGGAACGTGCAAACCCCACGATGGGCTCCTATCCCCTACTCCAGGGAAAGGCTCTCCAAGGGCCCCAGCTGCCCAAGGCACGGCCCTTCCTGCGTAGCCACTGGCAAGCAGCCCCCAAAATCTCGGAGGGTCCTGAGCCTGTTCTCCCTGGGGACACACGTGGCCCCCCAACACCCGCCTCTGCCCGGTGCCAGGCCCAACTCTGGCCGCAGGACCACATGCTGCCCGGACCTGCCTTGGGCTTCACGTGCCTCGCACACAACCAGCACGTTTCCTACCAGCCGGTCCCCACCCCTTGTTGGGGACAGTGCAGCTGACCGGGCACTTACTGGCCACCTCCCCACTGACCAAACGGGCAGGGGCGTTCTGTCCTGCTGGGCGAGGGTGGCATTGGCATCATACAGAGCTCGGCTCAAATCCCAGCTCTGCTCTGACCCGAAGGTCATTGTGACCTTCGGAGCCTCAGGGTCCCGCTCTGCAATATGGGAATAATAGCAGACACGTCTTGTGGCCTCAGGAGGAATAGTGAACGAGCCCAGCCCAGCCCAGGCACGCAGCAGCCACCTTGAGCAGGGCGGGGGTCTGCAAGTGCCGACCCCTCCTCCTCCCGTCAGGACCCCTCCTGGGCTAACCACAGCGCCGGCTCCGAGCCCCGGCCTACCCCTCTCAGCAAGTCCTGACCCGTCCAAGAGCTTTCTGACACACTTGTGACTGCCACCGCCTTGCCCCTGAACTGTGGTGGCCCCGTCCTGTTTGCTGAGTTGATGCCAAACCCCTCAGTGTCCCTGGTGCCTGCCCATCACGACCCGTCTCACTTTCACTCACAGCAGACCTGGGTCTGAACCCCAACTCAGCCATTTACCGGCTGCGCGTCTCAGAGCCTCAGTTTCCCCACCAGCCTCATCTACTGTTATACCTGCCTTGTAGGAACTTGGAGGATCAGGTGGGACAAGACCTCACCTCACCCCCCCGAAACCCAGGGCATCTGCCCCGTTGGCACCCCCATGTGCCCTGCAGGGCCGAACCCCTCGGGAAACGTGGGGTCGTGACCAGCAGAGCCCCCACAGCCCCCGGCAGAGTGCCACGCACCCCACAATGTGGGGTGAAACAGAATGAGGGTGTGAAACCAGGAGAGAAAAGGGGTGGCAGGGGAGGCGGCCCAAGGAAGACTGAGGGAGATTTCGAGTTAGGACACCCCCGATTCCCAGCTGCACGCAGGGGCAGGAGCAGCTGGGCTCTGCGGATCACCTACTGCGTGCAGCTGTGCCGGCCCAGGAAGCCGCGGACGAAGGAGAAAGGCCGGCCCAGGCCTCGAAACTTCCACTGTCTGGAGCAACCCATGAAAAGCAATGGGAAACGCAAACAGAAGGGTGGGTCCCTTAAAAGAAGAGCTGACGTCTAGTTTTGTCCACACATCACGACCACGCGGCCTTCTCTCCCGGCTGCAGATCAGACGGGGAACCCCCCCCCCCCCCCCCGCCTACCCCGGGCCTCAGGGAGGAACCTTCCTGGAGGTTACAAGCTCTCAGGGGGCTCTTTCTGCTAGTTTAAGAATCTAAAAGCTGTCTCAAGAGGACAACCACGGCCACGGCTGCAAGCTGTGGCATCGAGATGCAGCTTCTGCGTGAGGCCACCAGGGCACTGTTGCCGACCCAAGACCCAGAGGCCACCCGAACCTCAGCCCGGGACAACCCCTCCCTGCACCAGAGATGCAGCCCAGACGGGTGGCGACCCGACTTCACTGGGGCTCAACCTTGGCACCTGCCGGGTCTCCACGCCGCTGACCTTGGTGAGCCTGGGGAAGTCAAGGCCATTGGTTCCTGGGGGTGGGGCTTAGTGAAACAAACAGCCTGCCGCAAAGTGGTCCCGCCCCCCTGCACCTGCCCCTTGCTGCCCGGGACCACGGACCATGGTCACAGTCCAGCCTTAGGTTCATTCTCACTCCCCTGAAATGCCCTGAGTCGGCCGTGTAATTTACCCAACTCCTCGCACCTGGGCCTTCCGGACACCCCGCCGCCATAGGCGTCACGTTCCCTTTGCATGCCATGCCCTCCCCCAGGGCTGGCCAACTCGCAGGCGCTCTGACCCGGGCAGAAGCCATCCAGCCCCAATGTCCCAACGCAGGGCAGCACCACACATTCTCTCCACCGGGGTCCCTTCGAGCCTTGCCAAGCCTCTGACAGGGCCCTTCTCCCCCGCTGACCCATTAACTGGGGGCTCCCTGGGAGCAAACACCGTGCCTCGCTGCTCTCCGAATCTCCCAACACATGTTTACTCTTGGTGATATTCTACCTGTGTTTGTTGATTAAACACAAAAATGTAATCCAGCAGTGCTCTCTCCAAATGTGTGTTCTCAACAGGGTGGGGACACTTGAATGCACCCCAATGTAGCAGAAGCCATGGAAGGTAAAGGGGGTGGGTGTACAGCGCCGCCAAGTACAGCCGTGCAGGGAGTGACAGTCCCCCCTGCAGACGACACCACCTACATCACGGCCATCCTGGAGCCATGAACGTATGACGGCGACTTTGGCACAGACTGAAGTCAAGCGCTTCGAGGAAGGGGCAGGCACCTCATTCTAGTTCATTCAGAGATAGCGTACAGGTCATGAGAAATCGGGGTCCCCACCCCGCTGGCGGGCCTGAGAAATCGGGGTACCTACCCCACTGGCCGGCCTTTCAAGGTGCTCCTGGTGCCTGCGTCACACGCCCACAGGAGGCCAGGCATCAGATGGCTTTGAACTGTGGCCCGAGGTTCACTTCTCCCAGTGGGACCATGACGGGCCTGGAGGGAAGGCTGCCCTTCACCCGGGCCCAGGAGGCAGCAGGTGCCAGCGATGACAGCTGGCGTTTAGGGCTGGTCAGCCACTGACCAAGCTCTCTTGGCAGCAAGGCCTGGTCCTGGAGGAGGTGTGAACATGGAGCCCCAGGAAGCCAGGCCCGGCATGGCCAAGGTGTGTGAGCACGTCGGGCCCTGGGGTGCTCTGTCTGCCGTGCCCCACACGGGAAGGGCTAGTGCCGACATTTAAGTTTCGAAGCCGAGGACTGCTGGGGTAGACCAGATAGCTTCACCTGGCATGTTCAGGACCCCGCTGGGACAGCACCATGTCAAGTCAAACAGCTACATTTCTTCACAGCTCCCCTGGGGCTCGGTTTTGGTCTAGGACTTAAGTTTGGGGGTGGGGGGGGGCAGTGACTAAGCAACCCCGTTAACGAGTGAATTAAGACAGCAATTACTTAAAACTGAATACCTACTCAGTGTCAGGTGATGGACTGGGTATCACGCCCCATCTGGCTATTAAGGAGGTGCCAGGTGTCATGGGTTGCATGGTGGCCCCCAAAAGATGTGTTCAAGTCCTAACTCCCCTGTATCCGTGAACGTGAACATTTTTGGAAATAGGGCCTTTGCAGATGAGACCACCTCGGATTCAGCAAAAGCCCTAAATCCAGTGACTTATAAGAGGAAAGAGAGGGAGGTTTGAGATGCAGACACAGGAGAAGGCCATGTAAAGACAGAGGCAGACATGGGAGTGATGCAGCCACAGGCGGAGGAGCGTATGGAAAACACCAGAGGAGGCGGGAAAGACCCTCCCCCTGGCCGCCAGGATGGGGAGAGAACGCATTTCTGTTGCTTGAAGCCACCCAAGTGTGCGGTAATTTGTTACAGTCGCCTCTGCAAACTCATACACCAGGCAGATGGGAGGACAAGTATTAATCCACTAGTCACACACGTGTGCAGGATATGATGCTGTGAGAACCGCAAGGGGCCCGGAGGGCTTCCTGTAGGAGGAGACCCACATGTGAGTAGGAATGAATGGGTTGGGAGGCTGCAGAGGGCAGGAGGGAGAGGAGGGTACTCCAGACAGAGGTGATAGAGGTCCTGGCGCACAACAGAGAGGCAGGATGAGCTGATCACACGGGCCATGGGTGTCGGCCACCTGCACTCAGGGCAGGGTCCACGGGACACGGCCGGGCAGTGAGAGGCTGGGGTGCAGCTTCAGCCAGGCCCGGGACGCCCATGCTTTCCCGCGGTGTCACTCAAGAAGGCTAAAACGATAGAAAAGCGGCTGTCCCCCTTTCGTCCCCCAGCCTTGCTCCCATCAGGCCTGAATCCCCTGCAATGACCCAGGGTTGACTTGTACACGTGGGAAGAACCGTGTTTCCATCTAAACTATTCATACACACAAGTCTGCTATCGCCAATGGGGACAACTCTCCCAAGCCATGAGCACGACACAGGAGTGACACTGCAGGTGGTCAGGATGGCCTGGAGCCGGCTGTCAGTCAGAGAGGCATGGACACAGGGAGGATGCTGTGCCCGAGGCCAGCAGGAGGGGTACGCAGGCGCCGGACGCGGAGTCTGGACTCAGACAAGCTGACCGTCCTCAGGCCTGCGGGAGGCTGCAGGCCATTTTAGTAATTCGGCCCCACAAGCCACTGGCTCCAAAACCCAAAAACGAAATGAAAACGAGCAAATCAGTCTGTGTCTCCAAAACCTAATGTGGGGTCAGCATCACGACTCACTCCATTCCGTGTCCGTGAACATATCATTGCCCATGGAAACCACTCGCAAGTCGGCTGTTCTCGCTTTGGAAGAATTCCAGGCTATGCAGACGGCGGCGACGAAATCGCGGAAGCCGCTGGGGGAATTACTGCGATGAGTTACTCCTCACAGGCAGAAGTACCAGATCTTTTCAGCACTTCTTGTGGTGAGGCACACTGAACGGGGGCTGTGGGCGTGCGGGATATATTTGTTTGGATCCGGGCTGGGGCCACTGGAGCTTAGATGTGTGGGGAGACCCCAGAAGGACTCCCATGAGAGAGATTGGGGAGTTCATCGCCCTGGAAAGCTCCTTCCTGGAGCCGTTGTCGGGGGTGGGGGTGGGGATCCCGCCTTCTCCAGGGCAAGGAAACGAAAGCCTGAGAAAAGCCCCATCTAAATCTCTCCTAGTGTAAATGCATTTCAGTGACAACCTGATCGAGGCAGGAACTGGGACACTATTAGAAAGAGGGAACTCCAGGGACCAGGGATGGCGGTGGCTGTCCTAGAAATTTCCAGGCTCTGCCAATCAGGAAGGAGGCAGCTAAACAGAGAGCCCGTCAGCTCTGCCGAGGGGGGGCCAGGGACTCAACAGGTGTCCCAGCTGGGCAGAGATGCCAGGCGTGGGCAGGCGGCCCAGCTCACCGCGGCAGCACTGGCAGCAGAGTGGCACAGAGGGCCGCTCCACGGGCGGTGGGGACAGGGCCAGCCTTGTCCTCGGGAAGGCCTGGAGGCCGAGCGTGAGCAGGAGGAGTTCCCCGAGTCATCTGTCACTTGCTCCTGCCGGGTGGCTCCTCAGCCTTGGCCACACACGTCGCCCCTCCACACGTCCTGGTTCCTGGTCAGGTGAGTGTTTGGTGCTGCCCTCGGGCCCACCTGCCTGGTACCGGGAGGTGGCTGCCACAATTTCCCGGGGAAACGCGGCCCTCCGCCCGGGGACATCTTGGTGTTCCGAGCGACATCCTTGTGAGGCTGTTCGTGTTGAGTGGGGGAGATGACGAACGTGGGCGATTCATTCACAAACGATGCTGCTTCTGGGAGGCCACCTTGCTGCTCGGGCAGGGCAGGGGCAGCGTGATTGCACATTGCAGCGGGGACGACGCTGGGCTCCGTCCCATGGAGCTCACACGCCCAGTCGGCGAGAGGCGGTCTCACGGGAGCCATTTCTCAGACAGGCAGTTAAGACAACGCCCTGCCCAGCCTTGGTCACACCCGTTTTCCTCCCCCTCGGGAACACGGTCGGCAACACAAGGTTTTCCTAATAGAAGCCATAATGTGCAGAGGTGATTGAAATTAAACTGTCTCATTATTTTGTAATAAATCACCCAAAAACATTTCCTAAACACCACCAGGCATGTTACCTGCCAGGAACGGCTGGTGGAGAAGATGGAGATACAGCCCAAACGTGTTCAGAATAATCACGGGAGGCGATCACTGCTCCCCGCAGAGATTAACGGAAGGAAATGTGGTCTGAAAGGAGCCCAGCTGCCTTGGAACGGAGAGGCCAGATGGGGATCCCGGCTGCGCCAAACCAGCTCCGTGACCTTGGTGTCAATCCCCTCACCGCAAAATACCAGACTTTCATAATAAAAGTATACTACTTTAATATAAAATGCAATACATTATATATTATATTTTAATATAAGACCTAAAATAGAAATATATTTTTAATATAAATTGGTGTCTCCCTGAATTCACTCTTTATTATAAAAACCTTAAATTAGAGCGCCTCGCTCCCACTGAAAGTACTCCAATGGCTTCCCATCAGAATTGGACATAAAAATTCAAATTCCCCACCACGGCTAAGACCCTTTGTGATCTGACTCATGCCTTGCCCCCTCGTAAATCTCCCTGTTCCAGCCACGCTGCTGTCTTCTCTTGCTCCAACAGGCCACCCTCATCTCTGCCTCTGTGCCTCTGCACTGCCCCGTGCTCTCCCTGGAATGCTCTCGAGGGCTTCACGAGCCAGACTGCTGACACTGCTCAGGTCCCCAAGGTCACTTCCGAAGAGGTGCCTTGCCTGCTGCCCAGGCACGCCCTCCGTGTCCCTGGTTCTCAGCCCCTCCCTCTGTTTTATGTTCCTCTCGACAATTACTGTATTTGAAAGTGTGACCTGTTCGTTTGCTTACTTTCTGAGTCTCCCGGTAACGTGCGAGCGCTCCCAGGGTAGGGCTGGTCCTGCCCTCCGTGCTTCCACAGGGAGAAGGCCCACTTATTTAGTCCTGGCTCTGGCAAGAGCTGGCAGTGGGACCCTGGGTAGTATCCTTGCCTACCCTGGGCCTGGGTTTTCCTGACTGCAAAATGGAAGGTCAGAACATTCCAGTAGGTGCTTAGTTGATGCTGACTCAACAAATGAGACCTAAGCTGGGACTCATGTGGACCGTCTGGGATGCTGATGGTGTAACCCACTGTCCTAGGCTGCCTGGGGTGGGGGTGGCGGGGAGGTAGAGGGTAGAAGGGTCTCCTGGGATGTGGGCTTTCAGTGTTAAAACCAGGCTGCTCCTGGCACACTGGGAAGAGGTGGTGGACCCCCCATTACACTGCCTGCAGGAGGGAGCCCGGCACCCACAGCTCTGCTTAAACCACCCCTCCACCCTGCTTTCGTCTGCCACCCTTACCACCTGAAGCCTGGTGGGTGATTTTCATGAAGAGTCCATGAAGTCAGTGGGGAAAGGGTTTGTCCACTGTCACAGGGCTCGGCCAAGGGCAGCGCCAACTCATAAAACTTGCCCTTAGACCCTGGACTGAATGTTCTTTAAAACAAAACAAAACAGAATCAGGGGAATT